AAGTAACTAAACCTAATTGAGGTGTTTTTTGGAGTTAAACTAAGACGTGAAATGACAAGTTCTGACTATAAATCGTCGTTTTCGCTCTCATTATTATAAGTTTGAACAGGGAGAAGTAAGATAAAGAACCTCCAATATGATGAAGCCTAATTCAATCCATTTTATCATTCTTTGGGCAGCATGAAACATACTCTTTCAAGATACAACAGATGTATAGAATCTTCAGAGACTCCGATAGACGGACACAAGGCTGAGGTACGGAGTGACGATTTTGAGTTCAAACTGCCTGGTTGTTCATTTTTTCGAATGTTCTCGGGCAATACATTGCATGTTTCTCCTAACAGTATCTTCATCTCCAGAAGCAAGAGCATGAGGAGGTAGACAATCTACGAGATGAAATAACGACTCTGCAAATGAAACAATTGTATACCATCTATCTTCTCTCGACCCGTGATTTCTAAAGCTAAGATACATATTTTTATACATAGATTTTGTCGTTTGGTTTCGTAGGCAGCTACTGGGAAAGGATCTAACTGGCTTGGGCTTCAAGGAATTGCAAAACCTAGAGCAACAACTAAATGAAGGGCTCTTACTGGTGAAAGAGAAGAAGGTTTGGGATAAGTGATTCTCTGTAACATGAAGTTCTTAAACATAATTCAGCTTTCAAGCTCTGATAATCCTTCTATTTCTTTAGGAACAGTTACTGATGGAACAACTAGAGCAATCAAGGGTACAGGTGACTTAATATACTTTGTGCCTTTATTATACAAGGGATGCCTTAAATTCTTCATGTTTAAGTGAGTTCGGAATAGGTTCGTCCTTGAAAAATGGAACCTCAGAGAGAGAACTTCGATCTTTGATCGATAACATATTAAGCCATAGAGATGACAAATGTTTTTGAACGTAGTTTGTCGTTTTGATTCGTGATAACACCTTAAAACATGATAATTCAAGTTTCTATGGTCAAATAACGCATGTCGAAATCTCATGGATTATCTGGTCATATTTTTGTTTTAGGAACAACGAGCAATGCTAGAAAACGAAACTCTGCGGAGACAGGCGAGTTATCATTGATACAAACTTAAAAGTATTTAAGGCATGAGTTCTTATGATTTTTGAACTTACAATTCATTGTAGGTCAGCGAGCTTCGATGTCTGTTTCCTCCAGTCGACTGTCCGCTTCCTGCTTATCTTGAATACTGCTCCCTAGAGAAGAAGAAGGTGGGCATTAGAATCCCCGATGTCATCTGCAACTCCGAAATAGAAAGAGGAGATTCCGACACCACCTTGCACTTGGGGTAATAATGGCTTGCTTTTTAACTGAGATATGAAATTCTTATAAACATCGTAAGCATACGAACATCAGTCGAAATTCTCTCTGTCCTTAGCAGGAAACGACACGAACTCTGCGTTCGTGATCTTCCATTGTTCTATATATTATCGCTTATGTTTCTAAACTTACCCTCCCTGTTGGCCAGGCTACCATCACATGTCTATTGCAAGAGAAAGGAGGCTGAAAGAGATACTCATTCAAATGATTCAAGGAGTCAAATGGGCCTACTCTGATACCTCTCATCATTCATTCTGATTAATTAGATATCTGCTTTCTGATTAATTAGGTGACTGCACCGATGCTGGGACGACAAACCGAACCGGAATAATCAGCCCGATCTCCACCTTCAGACACTGCAAATATTCATTAGGTGACCTCTAAAACCATTGAAACAGAGAGAATTAGAAATCCCCACTTAGGAGATTAGTCAATGGAAAATGACATTGTTGTACTTGTAGCTAATTTCATTAGATTTTCGAATACATTTCTTAAGAACTATGCAAGCAAACTCTTTACAGAAGGAATATCAGCAGCTATTCTTTCTGGGTTGTTATTTCTTAGCTCATCTGTAATCTTTGATATCAAATTTGGAATATCAATGTATTCAATGTGTATTGAATCCTGTGTTCTTGCAGTTCTTACACAAGTTTATACATGAAAAAAGTAGAAACAATCCAACCATGGCTCTATTGATATGTTCGTCTCAGGGAATTAAGCAGTTTGGTTCTCTCTTCCAAAACATCAGAGAAGAGAGAATCAACTTCCTTCTTGAAATCATCTGTCTCCTTCTCAAGAACCGCTAATTTCTTCTGCAAATTCTCAGCGGCTTCACCGCTGCTTTTCTGATCCGCCATGGAAGCAGCTAGAAGCTCAACTGCATCATTCACCTCTTGAACTTCCTTCAACCTCGCGCCAGATTCACAAATTGCTTTATGAACAGTAAAATCCAATCGATCCAAAGCAGAAACCCCTAATTTCCCTGTTGATCTTCTCATCTCCATGAATACTTCAACTTCTCCGCTCAATCCAGAAATTACAAGCCCGCAAACCCATGAACCAATCTGTTTCATAATCGTCAAAGCACGATTAACCACGGATTCTTTCTCTGAATTCTTGACTTCCACAGAAATCTCTCCGATTTCGCCTTTGATCGAGCTGTTCTTGAAACTGCTTGTTCCTATAGGCTTCAAACGATCGATTGCAGAAGAAGGAGAAGGTTCCACTAAGGTTAACGCATGAGAAAGCCCTAACCGAGCTTGACTCAGATCAGCTATACACGAGCTAATCGAATTCAAAAGCTCAAGTAATCGCAAGGTGTATTGAAAAAACCCCTCCCCTGAAGAAGCCTCGAGTTTGCGAACTGGATAGTCAATTTCTGCGATCAACTTGGCAAAAGCTCTGTGTTGAATACGAAGCAGTTGGAAACACCGATTGATCCATGGAAATGAGAGAATTTCGGATGTGGATTTGTTCGAATCAAACCCCAAATCGCTCAAGGAAATCGAGATTGCAGAGAGAAATCCCTGAATCGCCGCCGATAACGCCGTTTCCGATTCATGATGGCGGTGGTCGTGAAGATCTTCCAGTTTGGAGAATAATCTGCCAATTGATGAACAGAAATGAGCATCAAAAGATCAAGAACAGAACTCCGCGATTGAATTGACCAGCTAGGGAAGAACTTTAAAAGGCGATTTGCCGAAGCAAACTTCGCAGATCAAATCTGGAGGGCTTGTGACTCTGAATCAACGGTCAAATGGGGTTATCTAAATTAGGAATTCACAGAATTTGAGCAACTGGGCCAGCCCAAGTGGGAACGATCTTGCGTGAGCTTGTGAAGCTGTCACGAGAAAGAAAGCATCAACGGGATATGAACAGAGATTTTTCTGCGATCGGAAGCTTACAATGGAAGATCAAACAACGTGTTCAGTTCAAACAGATTAATACTCAACAACTCTCTTCCAAAAACGATAAAAGATTCGGTGGATTTTAATGCACTGAATTTTATGAAATTTCACATAATGGATATTATTAACTAGCAATTATAATTATCAAAATTATTATTAACAAATTAAATAATTAATTAAGAAGCTAAACCTAACAACAGCTTTAATAACATAGGTGGATGGATAGGTCCAACTAATTGCTTATCCTTTTGAAAAGATAAGTCTTTTTTTTTAATTCCCTAATAAAAGTACCTTTGGAAAGTGGTACTAACTCCATTGTAAACGGACGTTCAACTTTCTTTTAGCTTTACGAGCCTCCGATACACTCATAACATGTAACAGCTCAAGCGGTTGTTTTCTTTGGCACGTTACGTTTCATTGTCAGTCTCACGATTTTTATTTTCCCACCTTTATAAGAATGTTTAGTTCCCTTTCCAACTGATGTGAGATCTCACAATATACTCTTTCTTGGGACCAACGTTCTTGTTGGCACATTGTGTAGTATCTATCTCTCTCTGATGTCATTTGTAACAACTTAAGTCTATCTTTTGTAACAGTGAAGTCCCTTGCTAATAAATATTGTCTGCTTTGCCTCATTACATATAGTCATCAGCTCCAAAATTTAAAAAACGTGTAAACTGAGGAGAAATTTTCACACACTTATAAGGAATACTTAGTTTCTCTCTCCAACCGACGTGGGATCTCACATAACGACACCTAAATATAAATTCAAAGAAATACAGTAAAAGAGAAGTATTATCTTTGATGATCAAGGACCGAACAAAATGCATATCGAATGAATCATAACGAACTAAGTTTAAAAGAAGCTTATTTTAAATATTCAATCCATTTAATTTTATAAAATGTAAGCAAAATGATATCCTAAAATGTCACATAATCCTTTATATAGTGTGTGTTTTGCCAAAGCTTGAAAATTAATTTTATATAATTTAATAGTTTACCAAATTGGGCCGGCCCATATACCAACCAAGCCTATTTTAGCTAAAAGCCCAGCCCAAAGTCAAGCCCAAATCTCTAGCCCACAAACTTGAAATCTGGCAAAGGCGAATATTTGAATGTAATATTTTATAATTTGGCCATTCTAAAATTACTAAAAACGTAAAAGAAAAAATAAAAGGTTGGCACGACACGACAGCAATCCACGTCACCTTCGAGATATCTAGGCCACACACGTGTATATTCGATTCGATATGCACCACTAGTTGTTGTACACCTGTCTTGTCACAAAATAAAGATTTTATTAAATTTAAGAAATTCCAATGCTAAATAAACCAACACTAATGCATTAAAATATATTTTTTTATTGATTTTTATTTACTAAAATTATTCAAAGTAATATTGAGAGAAATAGACTTCTATTTGTATTTTTTTCCCCTAAAATAAAATAAAATAAAATAATTTAAAGAGGAACCCACTAGAATGTGGACTAAAATTTATATTTCCACCACAATTTATATTCAAATAAAACTTCGGTATTATCCTATTTTTAAAATTTAAATATAACTTAATATTCATACAAATATTGTATTATTTTTTATATTTTAAAATTTAAATATAATAAATGAACAAGACAATAAATTTATCTTCAAATAAAATTTTATTTAGACAACAATATAAATAATATTTATTAAAAAAAAAAAGAGAGAAAAAAAATAAAGAGCAAAATTAATGGCCACAAAATTTGTAGCAATCCAAACAAATTTGTGTCACCATTTCCACTTCTTATCATCTCCACATTCCATGGATAGAGAGACCCATTTCCAAATCCAAATCCAAATCAAAATCCAAAGCCTCTGCATGAGGTAGAAGAAGAATCTCCCAGCTTCACTCTCCATCAATGGCGGCCTGCACTTCCACTTCTCCTTCTTCCCTAATGCTCACTTACGCTTCTTCTTCTGTTTACCCCCAAGATCTCGCTTCCTCCATCGTCTCTTTCAATGGGAAATCCCGATTTTCCACCATCAAATCCTTCTCCTCCTGCCATTTCTTATGCAGGCCAAGGAGATCGGCCGATTGGATTTGTCTTAATTTCCAGAGAAGAGCGAGGCACCATGTGATCGTCGCTGCTCTCGCCGCCGAAGCGAATGTCGCGGAAGCGGAGGCGGAGGCGGAGGAGGGTGTCGCCGTGGGGGGAACGGATACCGTTGCTGCGCCTAAACCCAAGAAGGGGAAAGCCGCGTTGCCTCTTAAAAGAGATAGGGTATGTTTCAAAATCTTGTAAAATTTTGGTTGTTAGGATTGGATTGTGGGTTGTGTTGTGTTTTATGGGTTGTTCTTATAGGGGCTTGTTTTCGAGCTTAGAAATGGAGGTTGTTTTACAATGGTTGTGGAGGATTTCTGAGTGTTTTGATTGGTAGATAGGATGTCAAATGTGAACTAGTTTACATATTTTGTTGTCTTTCCATGTCTGAAATCAACTTGTTGTGTGATATGTCAGAGGAGATCCAAGAGATTCTTGGAGATTCAAAAACTAAGGGAAAACAAAAAAGAGTATGAGATCAAGACAGCAATATCTCTTCTCAAGGAAATGGCTAGCACAAAATTTGTAGAAACAGCAGAAGCCCATTTCCGGCTCAACATTGATCCCAAATACAATGATCAACAGCTAAGAGCAACCGTGAGTTTTTTTTTTGTATATAAATCTTGATCTCTTTATTGCTAAGGGAAGTTATGAAGAATATGCTTATCATGAGGTTATTTTGTTTGTATACTTTGTTGTAGGTAAATCTGCCTAAAGGAACAGGGCAAACTGTAAGAGTAGCTGTTCTTACTCAAGGTAGATACTTATAATACTTAAGCAGCCCTCTCTTTAATCGACACACAGTCGGCTATAGTAGCGTTTCTTATGCTATATGTTCGAAAATTCTATCGAAATCCACCCAGTTGAGTCTTTGCTTGTGGCTAAGGCTTTGTTTGGGAGTTGTTGGTGAAACAGTTTTATGATTTCGAGAACAAATTAAGTGTAAACATGTTGTAATAACTCATCCAAAGTTATTTTGTTCTTTACGTTGATGACTTGGAAGTTTTTGTGCATCTTGATTCCTTTTTATTGAGTGGTTATGTGAGATTCCACATCGGTTGGAGAGGGGAACGAAACATGGCTTATAAGGATGTGGAAACCTCTCCCTAGCAGACATATTTTAAAAACTTTGAGGGGAAGCTCGGAAGGGAAAGTCCAAATAGGACAATATTTGCTAGCGGTGGGCTTATGCAGTTACAAATGATATCAGAGCCAGACATGGGTGGTGTGCCATGAGGATGCTGGGCCCCAAGGGGGTGGATCGTGAGATCCCATGTCGGTTGGAGAAGGGAACGAAACATTGCTTATAAGGGTGTGGAAATCTCTCCCTAGCAGACGCGTTTTAAAACTTTGAGGGGAAGTCTGGAAGGGGAAGTCAAAAGAGGACAATATCTGCTAGCGGTGGACTTGAACTGTTATAGGTTACTTGTTACAAAACATTTACTGTTTAGTGCACAATTGTAAAGAGTTGAATTGAATATACAGGTGAGAAATTCGATGAAGCGAAAAATGCTGGTGCAGATTTGGTTGGTGGGGAGGACTTAATAGAACAGATTAAAGGAGGATTTATGGATTTTGACAAACTGATTGCTTCCCCAGACATGATGCCTAAGGTATTGCTATTGCTCTAACTAGATTGCTTCAATGTTGATCCTAGAAGATAAGAGACATGAACACAAACTTAACGTAGTAGCTACCCGGGGTTTATAGATCTATTTTTGGTCATCGATATATTTCCAGAATTTTGTATATCAAAGTTATCTTCTAATGACTGAAGCCAAAACTCTAAACCATTTTCTAAAACAGATATAGTCTACATATGCAAGGGCATTACCATCGGTGAATGCCGATACCTGCATTACTATATGATGATGTAGTTGATTTTCATAGTTGTCTCCTCCGCTCGTTTCAGGTTGCTAGCCTTGGGAAGCTCCTAGGACCACGAGGGCTCATGCCGAATCCAAAAGCCGGTACCGTAGCAACCAATCTGCCTCAGGTATCAATGATTTTTGTTTGGTATCTGCAGTGCATCCAGATTTCCTATATATCCATTAGAAAAGAAATACAGGACTTTACTTTATCCATCTAGCAACCATGATTTCAGGCAATAGCAGAATTCAAGCAGGGGAAAGTTGAATACAGAGCAGATAAAACTGGGATCGTTCACTTACCATTTGGGAAAGCCGACTTCAGTGAAGAAGACCTTCTTGTAAACTTGCTCGCAGCCATAGTATGTTATTCCCTTCTTATCTCCATAGCTGTTGGTCTCCAAAATGTGTCTAATTCATGTTTATAAGCTATTTTCTTTGAACTCTTGACAGAAATCAGTAGAAACCAATAAACCGACAGGTGCCAAAGGTGTATACTGGAAAAGCGCACACATATGCTCGTCGATGGGACCTTCAATTCGATTAAATATAAGGGAGATGCTCGACTTCAAGCTTTCCTCGACAGCTTGACAAATAACAAGCCTGTAAATTTCTTCTGTTTGTTGAATCAGCCTATGGGGGATCCACTACAATATAATGATGTCCAAATGTGAGCTGCACTGGAATGAAGATGATTGAAAAACTGGGATGAATAATGAGAAGATATCAGAAAATTATGATCACAGAAACAAGCATACTGCATAGTCTTCTATACTGACTGAATCTCTCTGTATTAATGGTGTTAAGTTCTTAATGATCTTTGATTAACGTCTTGGGTTTTAGGGAAAAAAATGATGAATGTACTGAAATGTAATGACTAGTTGATGCTCTTTTATTCTGTTCCTGTTTAGGTATTTTCGTCCTTATGAAAACGTGGAATCATTGCTCCTTCTGAGCAATCGTATTCTCAAACTTCTCATTGTATTATCTCTGGTTTCGAGCATATGCATCTGGAGTATTACTTTGAGCAATTTAACTCTAAATGAATCATCTCATTGTTAGAAAGCCCTGATTCAAGAAGATGACTTATATTTATTAAACATTTTCGAGAATTGAATTTACGGTCAGATATAGTCTTTTTTTGGGCTTTTTCAAAGTTTTAAAACGTCACTTAGGGAGAGATTTCCACTCTTATAAAAAATGTTTCGTTCTCTTCTTCAACCAATATGAGATCTCACAATCCATCCTTTGAGGGTAAGCATCTTCACTGGTACACCATTTCAACCGATGTGGATCTCACAATTCACCTCCTTGAAGATCCAATGTCCTCGCTAGCACACTGCCCGGTGTTTGGCTCTAAACCATTTGTAATAGTCTATATGCCCACCGCTAGCAGATATTGTCGTTTGTGAGCTTTCTCTCCCGAGCTTCCTCTCAATATTTTAAAATGCGTCGGAAATATTTCCACACCCTTTCCCTCCACTCTCCAACCGTTGTGAAATCTCACAATCCACCTCCTTGTAGTAATCCAAGCCCATACAAATATTGTTCTTTTTTAGCTTTCCTTTTCGGACTTTCCCTCAAAGTTTTAAAACGCGTCAACTAGGAAAAGGTTTCCACGCACTTATAAGAAATCTTTAACTCTCCTCTCCAACCGATATGGGATCTCACATAAATCATTAGCAAGGAGTTCGAGTAATGATAATCTATTACCAATCATACACTAGTGAGTGCTGTGGAATCGTCGAGACAGAGAAGAACAAAAATGGCTTTGTTGAATCAAATCACCTCCATGGTATCCTACACACAACATTGTTTCTCTGACAAACTTCATTTTCTGATTCTACACAACTACAAAAACACATCTTCTGTTTAGCTGTCAACAAGGAGTTCACTTAACAAATGATTCAATCATGAGTATAATAAGCAGTCTTGTTTATACCACTGAAAATATATACACATTAGCATTTTACTACAATATACACACTGCAATTATCCCTAAAGGAAACTGCAATATTTTCTGCTACTCGAAATTTTTTGACAGAAAACAATGAATTCAGCACTTAAACAGACATTACAGGAAAGAAGAGCAACCAAAACCAAACAAATATATATGGCTCATATGGTAAATTTCATTTAGGGGATTTATGAAGGCAATAATATGCTCTTCCCTGGCATATCTTGACTTTGCATTCCTATTCTGGCCTGTGTAGATTATGGAGGATGTATAAAGAAGCAGATGACAGAAAAATGCAGACCGAATAACTCAGTAGATCAAGACCGGTGGCTATCGTTACCATCTTGCTTCTCTCGAACATTTTTACTAAAAGAATCATCACAATAACATGTCCGACCTTTGTTTTCAACTCATCAAGAGAGCTAATTTTCATCCATTTTGGCCTCTCCTGCAACCAACAACCACCAAAATTACCTTCAAGGCAAACATTCTTGATTTCTTGAAGGATATTCTTGATTTTCTTAAAAATAATGTCTTTAATTTACCTTCAAGGCAAACATTCCAAACAGTGAGGATCCTTTCAGGGCACGATCAACAGGAGGAAGTTCATCAGGAGACACATTGCTGATAAACAAACCGTATAGACCCATCCCAAAGATTAACATGACGGTTCCAGCAAGATACACATCTGCATGGGGTAATAATTCATGATCGTTTATGAACGAGAGAAGATTCACAGTATTTATGGCCTGTGGGTTCATTTTTGGCAAGTGACAGTGACAATGAAAATTAAAACAAGAGGGAAAGCAAAAAGTCTTGCTTTTAAATGCAGTTAGCAGCTTTAGGCTTCCAGCATAAATAAGAGATATAGTAGGGAGTATCCGAGGATCCTACCGATAGCTTCAACAAGTCGCAGAACCATTTGTCCAGTGTGGATACCTTTGACACAGCTTGACCAGTAAACTTTATATGCATCACAAATATAAACGCAGCCCTTCAGACAAACTGAGAGTAGTCAAACTACACGTAAAATTTGAACAGTACACAAAAACATAGAATCTTCCAGACAGAAACCGAGATTATCTTAGATGAAATATTGATCCACATTCCCATAGAAAATGACATGTTCCGACAGTAATAATTTCGGTCCCATAAGTGCATGTCACATGTTCATGTTGTGTGTACGCGTGTCTAACCACATTAGAAGGATTACTTATTGAGTACTTTTAATACCTAACATTTTTCAACACTTTTTGTTTCAGTCACCGACAAAGACGTATGAGGCAAGTGATGGGTTGTATATTGATTGAGCCATCAGGTCCGTGTTAGCATAAATTTCTACATTACGTCACCTTTAATAGCAAGCCTTGGTGTAATCATGTTGTAGATCCTTTTTAAAAATTAATTTACTTCCTCTTAAAGATGTTTTTAAGGGGTTATTTATGAGTTTTCAATGATGTCTCCAAAAAGAAAAACTCAAGATTATTAGTAAACAAAGCTATACTATTTATCAATCCTCTTAATATTGGTTTTTCAAAGTTTTTGATCTTTTAACTTTAACATGCCAGAAGTAACAACCCTAGACAATTGTTTAAGAAGCCAGTTCATTACAATCTATCTTCAAAATATATCCAAAACATCATGCAAAAGGAATTCAACTGCATAGTGAAGCAATTTTTACTCTTGTGTAGCATCCAACGAATTTTATAGTGATTTCTCGGGAAAATTAGATTTAAAGGAGAGCTGGAGAAAGTACATTGAGAAAGCACAAGAGTGAACCGGCCAGTGAACCTCCAACAGCAAGCAGTGCCAAGAAACGGAAGTCAAAAATAACCTGCTTAACATCAGGTGGGACAGGTACAGTCATTAACCCATTAAAGAATTGAAAGACCAGACATTAAAAGGAATAATAATTAAAAAAAAAGACTAATATAATACAAGGAATCAAACTCGAGATTTTAAAAAAATTAAAAATAACATCTGAAATCATCCTAAATGGGTATCCTTTCTGGCACCAGCCCATCCAACTTCTATAGTGCTTGAAATGTGACAACATAAAATTTTCATATGCATCTACTCCACGGCCGATCTCTCAATTATTAATCAGTGTGCGAGTTCAGATTCAAAGTGTTTATGTATTTAATTCATAGCCAGCACAAACTTTCAGCTTCGACAGGGGAAGAACATGAAAATCGAATTGAAAAAAAAAAAAAACGAGAGAGAAAGAGAAAAAAGCAAGTACCCTCTCAATTGAGGATTCAGCGGATCCCATAAACCTAATAATCGGATGAAACGCACCACCACCACCACTAGGGTTAGCATACGCGTAACCGAAATTCGAGTCCGCAGCTCTGGAGGGTTCGACCAAGGGCGTTGAAGTTCCATTGGAGGAACTAACGCCATCACTGGGCGATGATGCTTTCGCTGATTTTGATTCGGAAGACGAAGAGCTCAGAGAAGCACAAGGGTAGGAAAAGCGACGACCCACCGTGGTTGGACAATGAAGGCGGTGGAACCCTAAGGAAACGGCCAGTGGAAGCGGGGAGATCGCGGAAAGCGCCATTGGAGTGATGGAGAAAGAGAAATGGGGGGCAGGATATTTATTTGGAAGCTCAACAAGTGGGGAATGGAGATATTTTGATTGATCTCGATTCACATCTTCGCACTTGAAATCGACGTTTGTGTCTGATTTGAGAGCCAACTGGTTTTACCGCGAAGAACAGTGTCCCCAATAATATTTCTTTTTTATTTTATTTAAAAAAATATTTTTAAACTTTCTAACTAAAAAAAAAATCTCTTAGAATATTTAAAAAACTCATTAGTGCCCTTTAAATTAAATAAAAATAAAAATACTTTTACAGCTAAATACTCAAACAGTTATTCATCAACTATATTTAAACTAATAGGATTTAAAACTCATAGAGACATAAAATATAACTCCAAAAATTTGAATAATAAATATAAATTTTGAGATAAGATAGAAGATATTAAAAAAAAATTAAAAACAATATCATCTTCGACAGCTTGGTCAATCCATAATAAAATATATAAATTAAAAATATAGTTTCTTAAACTACGCCTGCTGTCTTCCTCCCTTGTCTGTCTTATTCATGAAAGTCAAAATTTACAGGAAAATGCTCTATCAACGAGCAAGTGCCCATAGTCATGCCTGAATACGATCAATCGTTGACTCATTTTAAATGAGTCGAACAGTTTGAGTAACTTCAAAACCTAAGCTTTCTTGTTCCACAATCTCCATTAAAATATGTTCGTCTCATTCTATATTCTAAAACTTATACATAGATTTGACTTTACATAAAGAATTAAATCACAGACAAAGAACACAAATGGAATTCTGATAATCAATAACAATCTTAGCCAAATTGGTTGCAAAGAGAAGAGATCATATTAAAATTACCTTATGGGGAAGCACGTTCGATATCTCCTTTGGCCTCACAACAGAGAGAGAGTTGTGTCAATGTCGACGAACCCAGTTCTTCAATTAGCTATTCTAGTTCTTTTCTGTAATGTTCATGTAAAGTCTCTTGAGTGTTCTGATTCCGATCGAGAAGCTTTGATTGCCTTAAAAAGTGGCCTCAACGATCCTGAGAATCGACTCGTGTCGTGGAAAGGGATGGACTGTTGCCATTGGAGAGGGGTGAGGTGTAACAATGGAACTGGAGCTGTTACTATGATTGATCTTCATAACCCACATCCCTTAGGGGAGCAAGGATTCTGGAATCTTAGTGGAGAGATAAGTCCATCACTGACAAAACTAAGGTCTTTGAGATATTTGGATTTGAGTTTTAACACATTCAACAATATTCCAGTTCCTGAATTCTTTGGCTCTTTGAAGAAGTTGCAGTATTTGAACCTATCAAATGCTGGCTTTGGTGGTTTACTTCCTCAAAGTTTGGGCAACATCTCTAGCTTGCAATATCTTGATATGGAGAATTTGGGTTTAGTTCTTGATAAAATTGAATGGGTAGCTGGGCTTGTGTCCTTGAAGTACCTTGCAATGGATAACATG